TTATAACTTAATAGTTCAGCTCAAATAAACCACGACAAATTCATTATCTTTTCATTTTTCAAATGATTTATTATGGATTCTCTTAACGGCGTAAACAAACATTTTAATAAGCTATACAAATAAGTTATTATCTCTTTAAGATGTTTGCCAGATAATTTTAGTATTGTTATTGTCAAGGTTAATACTTAAACCATCTTTTAAAAATAAAAAAAAAGTTATTTTACTATTGACTGTAAATAAATTGTTAACAATACCAACACTATATTTATATATATATATATATATATATATATACATCTATATATGAATGCGTGTGTATTTAAGTGTGTGTACTTGGAAATATGAATACAAAAATATTAATTAAAAACATCAATTAACAAAACAAATAACCATTAACGTTGCTGGTGACGACGTGTGTTTAAACGCCTTCAATCTGAGAGACGCAACAGTTCTAGCATTTTGGAACTTCCGATCTGATTACTAGAGTTTTGGATCTTCCGACCCGACATACGATCGCAAGATCCAAAATGAAACGGACAGTCTATTTCATAAGTTTACTTTAAGAAATAAATTTGTACTTCTAGTTATGACTGTACTTTTGGATCTTACGATTTTGGAACTTCCGATCGGCAATGTTTTCTTTGGATCTTCCGATTTTTGATCTTCCGACCCGCTAAATAACCTTTGGATATTCCGATTTTGGAACATCCGATCGGCAATATAAACGTTGGATCTTACGATTTTGGAACTTCCGATCGGCAATATTTTCTTTGGATCTTCCGATTTTGGAAATTTTGAAATACTCGCGTGCGCTCGGGGCAATTTCAGCATTTGTAGTATGGGCGAGGCGACCCTTCTTAATCCTCTTTAATGAGCGGGGCAGTTTCATCATTTAAAACGTACCTAAAATATCGGGGCAGTTTCATCGTCCCCCACGAAATTCCAGCTTACCTCCCGAGTCCATTGGTGAACTATTGACACTGACACAGTTAGTATTGTAGTATTGTTGTAGTATTGTTAGTACAGTTAGTATGCATACAACAGCTTTGTAAACAGATTAATTTCAGTGCCAATGAACCCATCTGACTACAATGAAGAAATAAATATTCTTAAGCATATTGCTGTCGCTAATGGTTACCAGAGCATTATAATTGATAAACTGATTCTTAAACATAAACAAAAACCTCCAAAATTAAAGATAAGAAAACATACATTTCAACAGAATTTAGTGCATCCCTTAGTACTAAATTTAAAAATCATCATGGCCAAAAACAACGTCACTGTGTCCTTCAAAACCGTTAACAAACTTGGATCTTTGTTGAAAGATGGTGCACCAATTTCGAGTAATAGACATACTAAATATCTTAATATAAATAAACCTCTTTTTGCATATAATAAGTCTGTTGGTGAAGGTTTGAGACAAGTGACTGGTAATAAAATAGACTATATTTATTGAGATAATCCTAATGAGCTTGTAGACAGGTTAAGACCTCTATGGCTTAAGTCGCCAAGCCGGTAACTCAGGAGTGGATAATGAAATAGATTCTATTATCGAAGAATTGAGATAAAGTGGAATTATTTATTCAATAAAATATGTTTATAGATAAATTTCATCGTTTATATAATCCATATAATAAGCCTGCAGAACCCAGGGCTAGTAATGAACCTACTTTAAATTTAAAAGACGATAGTTGGAATTGTTTAAACCGTAAAATTGGTAATGTTAAAGATGGAGAGTTTGTAGATGATGTGTCAACTTTGGGTCAGACATTAACTAGAAAAGGTGATGTCTTTTTACAAGGTAAAACTAAATATGAGTTTTTAGAATCTAAGAATAAAAATTGGAATGCTAAAAAACAGAAAATTACTAATGTGGAAAAGGGTAAAAGTTTAGATGATGTGCCCACTTTACAACAGACTTTAATACGAAAAGTTGGTGGCACATTTGTACAAGATAATAATAATTACGAATTTTTAGAATCAGAGAATGGTGTTTGGAATGCTAAGAAACAGAAAATTACTAATGTGAAAAAGGTTGAAAGTTTAGATGATGTGCCAACTTTACAACAGACTTCAATACGAAAAGATGGTGGTACATTTATACAAGATGATAATAATTATGAATTTTTAGAATCAGAGAATGGTATTTGGAATGCTAAAAAACAGAAAATTAGTGATTTGATGGAAGGTACAGATAGTAAAGATGCTGTGAATATTTCACAAGTTCCAAAAATGGAAGCAGGCTATTGGGATTTTAATAATAAAAGGTTAGTACGTGTTAAACCTGCCATTGATGACACTGATTGTGTCACAAAAGAACAGACTATAACTTTTGATAAAAAAGAAAAATGTTGGGATGCCAAAAAACAATTTATAAGAAATCTACCAAAGGGGGATATTTAGATGATATTTGTTTAATGTCACAAGCTATGTATTATGATGGATCAAAATTTGTATATCTTACTAATATTATAAATGTGAAAGTTTGTGTGTTTGTTTGTTTGTTTGTTTGTTTGTTTGAAGTTTAATCACGCATAAACCACTGGACCGATTGGGCTGAAATTTGGCATGATGATAGCTCACATTCCCGATTAACATATAGGCATATTCTTATCTGAAAAATCCCTTCGGGCTCCACACCCCCAGCCCAGTGGCCCAGTGAGCCCAGTGACTCTGTAGTTCCCCATGTTAACCTTATGAGTATTCATATTTAAAGGGGATTAAAGAATTTAGTCAGCTGTTTCAACTAAAAAAAGTTGGTTCTATGATATACAAAAGCATTAAAAAGTTATAAGATTTACCAACAGGGTGCAGCACTATATTTTTTTCATTTATGTAAACAGCTAATTTGAACTAATACAAATAACTGTGACACAATGAGAAGTAGGATTGTGTACAGTTATGTTTATGTTTTTAATGTCATGAATGGTTTGTGATGTTTGCGAATTCTGAATCATTAAATTTTCTTTATCGTTTAGGTGAAGTAGTAGAACATTATGGCTATGGTAGATGTGTAATACCATAGTATACCGTCAATTTAAAGAAGCAAATTTTATCAAACTTTGCCCTCACCCATTCATTGCAAACACAAATCTTGAGTATATAATTGCAATAAGCGTTTTAAACTTATATGCCAACCCCGTACGAAGGACGGGTACTCTGCTAGTGGAGAAATAAAATTTAATTTGATGGAATACAATCCTGATTTATTAGTTGCTGACCCCACATCTTTGAGTGGATTTAAGTATATAGATAATAGACCATATATACCAGAAAACTATGTATTTAAAAGAATGGAAGATAATCTATTGATTGGGGCTAATGGTAATATATTTACAGTTAAAGGAAAGAGTGATGTTATAAAAGATGAATTAAATTGCATACGAACTTCATAAGCCTGCAAGAAAGAATTTCATTATAAGGTATTTTAAAGTATTGGGTATAAACGAAACCATACACATAGATTTAATTGATATGCAAAACTATGCTAGAGAGAATTCTGGCAATAAATATATTTTAACGTTAATAGATACATTTTCTAAAAAAGCTTATGCTGCTCCACTAAAGAATAAGACAGGGTTGGTGGTTACAGAAGCCATTAAAATCATTCTACCAAAGGGGGTAAAAAACATTCAATCTGACAATGGAAAAGAATTTTTTAATCAATATTTTAGCAAACTAATGAAAAACTTAAATATTAATCATTATCACACTTTTTCTACAACTAAGGCTGCAATTGTGGAGAGGTTTCAGAGAACTTTAAAGAATTGGTTATATAGGGAATTTAGTGCTCAGGGAAGTTATAAATGGTTGGATTTACTTCCAAAGTTAGTTCGAAAATATAATAATAAAGTGCTTAGATCTATAGGAATGAAGCCTAACCAAGTGAGTATTAAGAATAGTAAATATGTGCATGAGAGGTTGACTTCTAAAGTAGTGCAAGTTAAAAAGCCAAGATATAAGGTAGGTGATAGCGTAAGAATTTCCAGGTATAAACATGTTTTTAGTAAAGGATATATCCCAAATTGGACAGGGGAGCTATTTACAATAGCAGAAGTTAAGAATACAAAGCCTGTGACTTATATCTTGAAAGATGAAAGAAAATGGTAATATAATCAAGGGAGGATTCTATACAGAGGAGTATGTATTTGGTAGAGAAGGTAATTAGGAGAAAAGGTGATTTATTGTATGTCAAATGGCTTGGGTTCCCAAGTAGCCAGAATTCATGGATTTCCGCAAAAGATACCATTTCACAGCCTCGCCACTAGAGGCAAGAAGACCGAGCCCCACCATGGGTCGAGAGCGCGCCCGCAGCCGGTCGAAACAAAACGAGGTTTATTTGGGGCGGATATTCACCACCCGTAGACACCATCACTTCCTGAATCTTTAATGCCAAAGATTACAGTAGTATTATAGAACAATAGTAATGTATTTCTTAGAAGGTTTGACCCATGCTTCCTGTGTCGACGACCCTGACTACTACCCCACGAGTATTTCTGGGAGATTTCTGGGATTTAATGGGTAAAGTGCAAGCTTAGGTCAGGTACCTGCTCCCTAGAAACCTACCCTCCGCAACACACAATAGGGGCAGCACAGGTCGAGTCAGGGGCAGCCCAGGCCGAAAGTCCGTTTCCCGACTAACGCCGATTCTTATTCGGGTCGAAGTTCGAAGGATTCGAAAGTCGAATCTCGTTGACCGAATCTCGAATCCGAATATTTCTTAAAGATTCGATGGATTCGAGATTCGGATTCGACACATCACTACTGCTTACATTACCTTTTGACTCCTTGCAGGGTTTACCCCTGAGGAGGTTTTTTTTTCACATTACTTCAGGCTTGACCTAGGGGTTGCGGCATTATCACTTCGATAAAATCCATTGGTGACTTGGCGGGGACCGAACCCGGGACCTCAGCGACTGAAGTCCCGTGCTCTATATAGATAAAAGATTGATTGATAGATGGAAAGATAAGTATCAGCAGTGTTAATGTCTATGTTACAGTATGCAAGAACTCGCTGGCCCAGGAAAAATTATCCTCCAAGGATGCAGTGGCCAACGAAGAAGTCCAGACGAAGTTTGGAAAAAAGTGTGTGGCGAAGGGGGAGGTGATTTTGTTCCTGGGCCAGATATACCACGACAAATGCTTCACGTGTGCTCGCTGCAGGTATGTACCCTTCAACCTTGAATCTCATTTATTGATGTATTTATCAACTTCCACTGCCACTAACATTTATCATTACAGTTCACCTTCGTACTATAACGGGTCACCCCTTGCTTTGCAGGATACATTCCACGCACAGATCTGTAGTCTATGTGGTCGGGCAAATGCAAGGTTAAAGGAGGCCACCAACCTCTTAAAAAAAAATGTTTTTTGTGTGTATAGCTTCTTAGTTCGAGTGTACGCCGCAACGAGGCTAATAGGCTATAATAGGCCTTTTACTACCCAAGTAGCAAAAATCGTTGGCAAATCGTTGGCCCAACGTTTCTGTCGATCGTTGGCCAACGGTATGTTTTGGCACTAAGTCTTACTGTTGGCCAACCAACCAATTTTTGCAGAAGGGCCAACCATCCCATTGGGCCTAAACATAAAAAAACACAAAATAATAAAGATTTAGTATAGTTGAGTAAATTGATTAAATAGTTTATTAATCCTAATTTTGAAAAAAAACGAGATAAAATTATTTGACCCAAACGGGTCTCGAACCCGGTACCTTCGCCTTGTGAGCCTTACACCTTACCTCTGAGCTATCTGTACTTGTTGATTATGAGTGTTTTCAAGTGGTCAAAGAGTAGCCGACAGTTTCAATGGTCACAATACAAAATATTTTTGATACTGTACTACAGTAATATATATTGATCTGTTTATATTGATATATATGATTCTGTTAATCTGTTTAGGCCTCAAGTAGTTGAATTGTTTTTCTGGTAGTTGTAGAGGATACTAGTATTTGAATATAGATTATTTAATTACCATTAGATTAGTACTGTTATAATTGATTGTTATATAACTAATTAATCTTTCCCCTATAACTACTAAAAATTTGCTCAAATAAGTTAAAGAATATTGTAAAAAATAAATGGAATTATTATAATTATTATGTTAAGCAGGTGTTCCCCACTGTATCTAGTATCACAACATCATCTGCCTACATTTATTATAGATCCACATTTTTACAATATTTGTCCTATATTCTGCTGCCATAACATTTATGTTCTTTTAAATAAATCAATTCGTTAAAATGCGTTTTAGAATGTTTTATACTTAAACCCAACGAAGGCCCAACGATTCTTTCCTTTGTAGGGCCAACGTTGGCAAATCGTTAAAATTTCTGCCAACCATTTCCCAACGTTGGACCAACGATGTGTGCTACTTGGGTAGTATCATTGAGAACAGATTGGCGCCATTTACAACATTGTAGCTTATGTAAACACTTTGCTGTGTATCTAGAAAGTTTATATAATAATTTAAGGCTGCGCTCTTCTACCCCGTCTGGCGCGCGCAAATGTAAGGGTTTTAGCTAAATAGTTTGTGTATTCATTGGTTTTAGTTCTTCCTGTTGGTAGCCCCAATTATGAACCGATTTTAAAGATCTTGGTGTCATATTTTTCGTTAAATGTTACTGTAGGTCTTAAAGATCTTGGTGTCATATTTTTCGTTAAATGTTACTGTAGGTCTACCGTTTTTTTTTTATTTTTAAAATTTAAAAAATGGTAGGCTCAAAGGTTGGTGAAAAATGTAAAAATAGGCGTTTTCTATCATAAATTTTGATCCATTAAAATAATTTTTAGAGAAAAAATAAAAAAACGGGAGATGTGCAATAGATTCTTAAAAACAAGAACCTGCAATTAGTTTACTAAAAAGTTGAAGGATAACTATGTAATTACGCAGACTCGAAAGGCTTGCAAGCGCTCTTCAAGGCGCCGTTCAGTGGAGCGGCCATACGGCCAACGGCTCTAACTGTCGTCAGCTCTCCCACCACAGCCATCGCCCATCAAATATCAATCGATATTTCCCCTGCTCCACGAAGATACTTTTTTTACTTTTTTTTTTGGCTCGGTTGAATCTTGAATCTGTTCCATCTTTGCGTCGTCGCCGTTTACAGTCCTCTTTGGAAACAGTTGTACTCAGCCAATGCAACTTGCTTGCGCAGATAGAGCTTTATTACTTACTTTATATCTTAATTATAATATAAGTACAAAATTCAAAATACTAGTGGAACCCCGTCGAAATCGACGGTTAATCTTGAGGTTTTATGTAAATTCAGCAAACTGCGATAGATAGAGTGAAGTCATTAAAATCTTAGTTAAATGAAGGGAGGATGAACATAATAATAAGTATGACGATTGTGTTCCTAAAAAAAGTGATTGATGAATTAGTTTAACACAATATTTCCTACCTTTTTATCGGCTTTAGGTTGCCCAAATGGTTTTTTAGGAGTCTTATAAAATTGTTTGTTCATGAGTTTGTTTCATGTCAAAGCCACTTTCACTATATGGAAGAATGAGTTCATATAATTAGTCTATCATGTTACGGAAAGAGTCAATATTTATTACTAACAACTAATTCAATCTGCTTTAGGAAAACCATTCAGATTGTATCCGGATTTATAAGTAAATCTTCATCTTTGGTCATAAAAATACAGAATTTTATCAGCATATTAAATCAGTTTTTTTTTGTATTTGATAAAAATATCTGATTCTCTAGAAAGCAGTAAGATTCTTACTTCGATTTAAGCAATTTTAATTCCTTCTCTTGCCACATCGACCCATGTATTTAATCATCCTGTTCTTACTTGATAACTCATTAACTTATAGTTCGGGATAGTTTCGCCTTGGCCAGATCGATCACATAAAGCTGTGCATGTATTTCATGGATGGAATGAACCATAATTGTAGGAAATTTGATCACAAATCTTGAACATTTGCGGAACCAAATCCATAACCTTGTCCCGCCTTGGTAACAAATTATGCAAATGCGATTAGATGTGATGACACTGTTGTGTTTCCGAATGTTTTGTACCTATGTAGTGAGGTTTAGATGCGTTGTTACATGTGTACAGCAAAGTAAAAACCCTGTACACATGTTTTTAAATACCTGAATTGACATTAGTTCACCTACTTCACCAAAACCATAGATGAAACATACTCCGTAGTTAGTCTATTCCAAAACTTGAACACAGCTCTCATCCTCAACGTACTCATCTATGACACAATTTTTAACCCGATTGTCAAAAACTTTTATACCAATAAATGAATTTCTAGTGTTCTTTCTTGAATTCAAAAATAAATGGTAATTGAAAGTAGGCAAAAAAAGGCAAGTGCCAACCTTACAATTACAATATAAGCTAACCCAATAAGGAATAATTATGTTCCTTTAAAATTGATATGTCACACTTATTTCATAATTTAAAATTTTCTAAGAGCAATAAAGCATATATTTTTTATCACAACATTTAAAACGTATCATAAATTCATCATTTTGTTGAAACTATAAAAAACTTGCCATGCAGTGGAGAATCAATTTAAAATCATAAATAATAAGGTAAACATTTAATTTTGAAAGTTTCAGTAGACCTTTGAATACAATTTTAATATTAACAGCTGGTTCATTAAAAGTATTGTAAAATTATCCATATGGTCGTAATGTAAACAAAATTGCAGAGTGAACTTTAAAGGCCTCTGGGGCAGAGTCCCAAGGAAATTTACCTCGTTTCTCTTTTGAGGGCTCACCTACAGACCAAGACCTTTCTTTAGACACCCCTACCAAGTTTCTACACCCAGCCGTTCTCTCAAATTAGCTGTGCCAAAAACCCCGGTTTCCTCCATAAGAATAACATGGGATGGGACTTTAAAGGCCACTGGGGCAGAGCCCCTAGGGAATTTACCACGTTTCTCTTTTGATGGCTCATCTACAGACCAAGACCTTTCTTTAGACACCCCTACCGAGATTCTACACCCAGCCGTTCTCTCAAAATAGCTATGACAAAGAAAAACAGTTTCAAATTAATATATAGATATTTATTTTAGTACTATACCCACCAGGTGTTTAAAGTATACTGCTTGTGATCATAATAATACTTTTACCGTTATTGAGTATTCAACGTCACCTTGAATCCACGTTCGGCGCACGTACGCCATGTACTGGTTGAGGATCGGTTCAATGCCGTTGGCCTGTACATACGTGACGATGTACCGGAAACCTTCTTCAATCTGGGTTTCCGGCAATAATGCCAATGCCATTGTCATTTTTACGGCACGTTTCACGGCAGGATTGGTGTTCAAGGCTCTTGTCAAGCCTAAAGATCGAGCCTTCCTCCACATTGCCTGAATAAAACCATTGTAACCATATAGTTTTTGTGTATGGCCATGCACTGGGGAATAACCAGGTTTCTTATGTACTGGATTGAAAATATGTAGTACGACCAACATTGATTGTGGATCCGAACCGAGTCTTAAATTGCAGGTTATTGTAAGCAAGGAATTATACAATATACGAGTACATAAATGAAAACTGATTACCAAAATAAAATTCAATATCAGCACACAATTTCCTTGACTATTTAACATGACATTTATAACTGTTTATATTATTGCTTAATTTGTATTGATATACATTTCGTAATAAGTACATTTATATCCCAACGTACCCTCCACTATTCTTATTTTGCACTTCCACGTGTTACATACTGTTATGTTAATTATGTACAATCATCTTACATATTTACACTGGTCAATGCTTACTGTTGACGAGTGGAAAAAACAGCCGAGGATATGGGCGTTGGCGAACCTTTCTCTCAAGGCCGTCTGCAATGCTGTTTCAAAGTCAGAAACGATAACTTGAGGGTGTAGTTCCGGCGCCAATTCAACCAGCTTCTGTAACACTTGGTCGTATGCTCCTTTGGTTTTCTGCTCCATCAGCTCAAAAAACACGGGATATGCCTGTTAAATGAAATACATATATGTTCATAATGTCAGTGATGTAATTTTGCAGCAAACATGCTGAGTATTTTCAACGCTGCGTTCGACTTTTTACAGTATAGTGGAAGAATATTAGGAAAATCGACCTAACAAATTCGAACTACCTAGAAATTTTGCACAGCTGTTAAGTAAGCCATGTTCTTGAAAATGTCAAAAGTCCCCGGAAATCCCTGCTGTGCTTCAGCC